GAATTTAAGAAAATAATTATTGTGATTGCATTAATACTGAATACAAATGTTTATTTTATTTGCCACTTATACAATATTTTATAAACAATATTAATATTTGAGATTAATTGTTATAATTAAAAACGGTTGTGGTTAAAAACGATTGTGGCAATAATTTAAATATAATAATTTAAATACGTGTATAAACAATATTAACAATATTAACTATATGTATAACAATATTAACAATATTAACAATATTAACAATATTAACTATATGTATAGCTTGTAACGGCATGTATAGCTTGCCCCTGGTTCTTCTAACTTTGAATGAACTAACGTGGTTGGGACTTAAAGGCCGTTGTTGCGTAGTAGCATCGCTACTTGTTGTATATAAGACCGGGGCTTGATTCTGCTGACAATGCATGGTAGTGGAATGTCCACTAGATAAATGAGGAAGTTCTTGTATCTTGTCCAATAATTCCCGCAACTGGAAAATAATAAACGTAAAAATTAATCGCGAAATAATTCGTACATATAGTTATTTTTGTGATATATCATAAGACTTATACCAAGACTTGATATGTCAGAAGTCGTTCCATGATTCGTCAAGGAGACAATGGAACCAATATCATCGCAACCAATTACTAAGGGATAAAGATCTGGTTTTAACATGATTCTGTGATTGATATTCAATATAACTTTAATATTCTATTTTATTCAGGATATCTTACGCAAGACGAGTGTTGCTTAGATGCCGACAGGAAGCAGATATAGTGGCGGCGAGATGGTGGTAATTATATGAAATTAATCGACCGTACAATTGTATAAACAATAATAAGAATAAGGAAGAAAGAACAAAGCCAAGCCAAATAACGGTCAACGCTGGATCACGAATGCTTATAATTATGTGTGAATTTATATACCGCGTTTGTAGTTCCAATCGCGTGCCGAAATTTTTTCCAGACTTACAACGCAACACTAAACAACTACCGCGGTAATATCACTTTCGTTAAATTGACAAACAATTTAACAATTTTTGATGCATTAACATCTATTGGATATTAATAATATGTTGAAAGACATATATTAAAATTTAACGATGTAACATTAATTCTAAATCTGTGAAAAATATGATTGCGAAGAATATCACAAGTTGGCGTTTCATCCTATTTTTCATAGATTTAGAATTAATGTTACATGTAACATTGAATACACGAGCCTGAAAAAGACGTTATTACTAGATTAGTTTAAATATTGCGAAGAATATTACTACGTCGACTCGCCATCAGAGGTCTATAGATATTCGTAAATTTCTCGCAATTGCTGAGATACGCGTGTATCTGTTTATATAGATTCTCAATTTAATAACTTACACAGGCGTCTAAGGTAGGTTTCCATTACAATACCTTACTGATGAGTCCAGTAGTGGAAACCGGGACGAAACGCCAACTTGTGATATTCTTCGCAATAATAATTCAATTTCATACAATACTCGAAGATATACATTTAAAAAGACTAACAAAAATTAAAAAAAAAATACTATTCTGTCTCAGTTGCCAACGAATATTCACAGTGGTAACACACATTCATATTAAATTAGTTGCAGAAGATCTATATTTCTGATAAATTAAAAAATGTTTTCTTATAGTTTTTGATTTGTAATAATGTATAATAGTTTTATAATTTTGACGTCTACGAATTTTATATATTGACGATTAGATCTTGGAAAGCATTAATTTATTGTGAGAGTTCAGAATAATGATGTCCATCGTTAAAGGTTTGATAGTATTACAATTCTTTATTACATACATATTTTATAATAGATTTATTTAAATCAAATGTGTGTTATTTCAATATAATTTATAGCTGACTTTTTTCTTACGATCTGTCAATCGCTTCAAGGACAATGGTTAGATGTGAAGATGGACGTTTAGGATTAGTTCATTAATATTAACTATAAGAATATGTGTGCGTTTCTATGAAGAAAACTCAATCAAGGAGCCGAAACGTAAAGTAGTTTTTTTAAATTTTTGTTAGTCTTTTTAAATGTATATCTTCGAATATTGTATGAAATTGAATTATTATATATAACTGTTTTGTTTTAATTGTTTTTTTTTTAAATTATTTCTTATGACTCTTACAACGTCCTTTTAATTTTTCGTTTATGTTTAGAATTAATGTTACATCGTTAAATTTTAACAGATGCTAATGCATCAAAAATTGTTAGATTGCTTGTCAATTTAACGAAAGTGATATTACCGCGGTAGTTGTTTAGTGTTGCGTTGTAAGTCTGGAAAAAATTTCGGCACGCGATTGGAACTACAAACGCGGTATATAAATTCACACATAATTATAAGCATTCGTGATCCAGCGTTGACCGTTATTTGGCTTGGTTTCGTGCTTTCTTCCTTATTCTTATTATAAACAGTAAATTTTGAAAAACAATCATTATATCTTTATATTAATTAACTATTATATTTTAGTTTTTATATTTACTCCGCGAAAAAAAAATTAGTATATTCTAAAAAAAAGTTTAAAAGTTCTTTATAAGGATTTCATCCAAATTCATATAGAGAATTTATAAAGTCTTTATATAACTTTATAAATAAATGCGAACATGTATATATTTTTAATATAATTTATATTAACAACTTATTTAAGTTTAATAAGTCCTTATTAAATCTTATAAAAGTCCAATTTATATAATTTAATTATAAATCTTAACAAGTTTTAAATAAGAATTAATAAGTTCAAATATGGTCTTATATAACTTAATATGGATTATTATATCGTCCAAATTAAATCTATATAAGGTTTTAATAAAAATATATTTATTGGAATCGTTAATAAGATCTTATTTAGAATTATATTAAATTTTAATTTTATTGTTCATATTATATTAACTATCGTATTTTTATACTGCGTATAAAAATGCCTACCGATTCGAAATTTTATACTTTTTAATACTTTGTTTTCTCTTTTTATGTTTTTTTTATTATAATACAGGGTGTTTATTTAAAAACTTTCCAGCTGATTATTACGAAAAATATAAAAGATACAAAAAAAAGTTAAAACGTGTTCCATGATTTTGAGGGAAAGAGAATGGCACTCTCAATTTTTTTATTTGGAAGGCGTTTATTTTAATCAATTTTTTTAAATGGAAATGTATATTTTTTATTACAGGATCTTATTCTACGTAAAAAAAAAAACAAGTAACTTCTGTAGGAAATATTTTTTTGTTCAATCACTATTTTAGGAGATATTTAAAAAAATAGCAAGGCAGAGTTACTGTATAAAATATCATTAATTAAAATAACAAATATTTAAAATGTTCTCCGTTAAAAATATTTTCCTGTGGAGTTTTTGAGTCGAATTAAATGGCAACCTTTATTTAAATTTACTAGACAACGTTATTGATACACTTATAACTGATAATTAATTAAGTCAAAGCCATATAGTAGACTTTCTAAGCGTTCAAAAATGTTAAAAATAATTTTGTGTTAATTTTAATATTTGTGCATGTCTCAGAAAGTTCACTATGCGGCTTTGAATTAATTTTAACATTTTACTTTTTAGTAAAACTTTGGTAAAGTATGGAAAACTTTGTATTACACACTTTTATTTGTTTATAATTATAGCAATTCAAGAATATGTTGCGGCGAGCAATCCAGAAAACAAAAAAAGATAGGCCAAACGCATCAAGATATACGCCCGTGCCGCCTGTACCAGGATATACATCCACGCTGCCTGCACTAGGGTATACATCCGCGCCACCTGCACCAGGATATACACCCACACCGCTTGTGCCGGGATATACACCCGCGCCGGCTGCATTATACGGTAAAAAACATTTTATATTTGTTTTGGAAACGGTCCACTCAAGTCTTGTTAAAATTTTGTTTCGCGAATTGTCTTATGACGTATAATGAGTGGACTATTTGGAATACGCAAAATGTATGTAACATAAATTTTTCAATTGTGCAGGATATACTCCCGCACCGCCTGCACCAGGATATACACCTGCGCCGCCTGTATCAGGATATACACTAGCGGCGCCTGTACCAGGACATACACCCGCGCCACCTGCACCAGGATATATACTACCGGCGCACAGTGGGCGAAATCAGCAAAAACTGGACAAAAATCGATAATTTGCTCAATTCTGCAGTAAATTTTTTGAAAATTGGTATTCCTAGGTTGTTTTAGGCATAGATTTCGAATTTTAAATCAAAATGACCAAATGTAAAATGGCCGAATTCAGAATTAAATTATTTGAAAATCGGTAATCTAATGTTTTGGAGGTCGCTAATATTATTTCAAATATTAAATAAAAACTATAAAATTAATAATGATTGATCCGCTATTGAAGTGACTGGGTTTGGTTCAATTGCATTTAGATATTTGAAAATAAATGCAATTATAAGCCTTTCACCACGACAAGGTACCAGTTTGCGAAAGGGTTTCTTATGTTTTTTTTATAAAGTGAGACAGCATGATTCGAACGTACTCTCCCTCTCCATACTAACCTACATGCGCTGTTGCCATAGGTCCATGAGCAGCGCATATAAGTTAGTTAGGTTAGTATGGAGAGGGAAAGTACGTTCGAATCATGCTGTCTCTCTTTATATCCTGGTATCATGGTTTCCTTGTCTATGCTCGCGGCTCGGTGCATATATTATAGGTCCATGGTTTTGCGATACAGTTCTTCTTTGGCCACCTAGCGGACAAAATGTAAAGTACATCAACACAAACATGCAAGTAGCGTTGAACAGATTATGAGAGACAATCCAACAATATAACTATTTCCCTCATCAAAGCAGTATAGTTTCATTTTAGAGCATTCAATATATTTATTTGTTAATAACAATTTGTTAATTTCAAAATTAATTAAATACTTGCATTAATAAACTTAATTTAAGATATCCAGTCTTTACAACAAATTTCATATACATAAATAACCTTTCTTCATCATGATATTCTGTGATAACTTTTTACAAAATATCTACATCACAATATAGTTAATAACTTTTGAACGGGCAAAAACGGGCAAATGGGATTTGTTTCTTAGTCTAAAAGACACTTTAAGATAAAAGTTCATCCTAATTTTGTTTAGGTATAATCGGAAAACTTATTTTTGTCCGGTTTCGCCCACTGTGCGGCGCCTGTACCAGGATATACACCCGCGCCGCCTGCACCAGGATGTACACCCGCGTCGCCTGCTCCAGGATATACACCCGCGTCGTCTGCTCCAGGATATACATTCGCGCCGTCTGTACCAGGATATACACCCGCGCCGCCTGCACTAGGATATACTGTCGCGCCGCCAACATTATAATTCTGTTCAAAAATGTTTTTATAATATAAACGATAGTTTTCATAATGTTTTTATAATATAAATGATAGTTTTTATATGTTTCTCTAATACAAATGATAGTTTTTATAATATAGTATATAATGGGTCCCTTCCATTTGATGACACAAGTTGACACAAGTGTCGTTCTATCTTTCTTGACATTTAGAGATTGACGAAGATAGAACGACACTTGTGTCGATTTGTGTCATTAAATGGAAAGCACCCAGTATAAAATTATAAATGTAACTTTATAATATTTTTTTGGTTGCAATACTGGATTATAAAATGTTTTTATAATATAAAAAATTTTAATTTAAAAAAAATGAATAACACGTTATTTGCCCTTCTTGAAATTGTTTTATGAAGTAAAATGAGTGGATCACTTGGAATACGCGTATTTTGTACTATTTGAGATTTGTTCGCGTCGCATGCTCCAACATGCTTCTATCGTAGCTACTATTTTCTTCAATGCGCTCGTTGAATGAGTAATAACTATGGTAGATGCATGTTGGAGTATGCAACGCGAACAAATCTATAATAATATCTTCGTACGTCTGGTATTTTTCCAGCTACGATCTTGAGCGTGTACAAACAATTTCCGCATACAAAAATAAAATTCCGGTATTTTCGTGCTATATGTACCAATTATTATGTGCTCTCTCTCTCTCTCTCTCTCTCTCTCTCTCTCTCTCTCTCTCTCTCTCTCTCTCTCTC